GATACATTCTTGACAATCACTCATCATGACAATTTAACTTTTTTATCAGCTTTTTTGGAACTATAATCAACATACAATAATTTAAAGAGTACATCTGCTAAATGTACACCCATGGAATAATCACCACAATTAAGGTAATGAATATATATCTATCCATCACCCCCAAAAGTTTCCTTATGTCCATTTTTGGAACATCAAAAATTGAAATGGTTAAATGATCTGTTATATATGTAGGCAATAAAACACTACTAAGCAGTCAAAATGAATGAACTATTATTGATACACAAAAAATGTGTGAATCTCAAAATAATTATGCTGAAAGAATTACCACACCAAAAAAACCATACTATAGTTACTACATAAAATTTACATAAAATTCTAGAAAATACAAACAATCTATTTCTTTTTAGAGAGAAAAACAGCAATACATTAATAAGTGGTGGTGCCACAATGTGAATCTGATTCTATAGATCCCAAAACTCAGGTCTATACCACAAGACCTCAATATCAACTACATGCTTCGTAACAAAACAAGAAAAAACATACACTTGGTTTTTAGCATTACAATACTCTGTTTTAATACTAAAATTTACCGATAAAATACCTAAAATATAATTTACTTTTTAAAGTATATAATGAAGCAAAAAGCATAAGACCCGTCAAACAAAAAACTAATCTCACAAATGATAACCAGCTAGCAAAGAAACAATATAAGCATGGACAATAAAGTTAACAGAATTCATGTTTATAATTACCAAGCAGGGCCAACTGAGTGGTGCATTGGTTAAGAGCTGGCTTGGGATGCCAGAGGGCCCAGGTTTGGATCACACATATGAGGGCAAGTGACACTGCCCTCTACAACTAAGATGCTGAACAACAGCTCCACCTGGAGCTGGGCTGCCGTGAGTCGCCGGCGACGGCATAGGTTGTCATGGGCTACCGTGTGTAGCCAGCAGCCAGCGTGAGCAGTGAGCGGCTGTCCAGAAGCCGGCGACTGATCTGCCTCACCC